TCCCGGGGAAAAAATCTCCCTCCCTTTGGGGGGGGGTTTTTAAATGTTTTACCCGTTAAGCCATCCAAAACATAAGGGTCCCCCCCCCCCCCCCCGCCCCCCCCCCGTCATTGCTTCGCGAATCTCGACCAGCTAAGCGGACCCCCCCCGCGTCACCGCCTACGGCAATGCCTCACCCGCTTCGTGAACTCCTCTCCAGTGAGCAGGTCGTTCCAGCTCTTGGCCTTGTAGTTGAGCTCCTCCACGGCCTCGGCGGCGAACACGTTGCCGGACGACTTAATCGCCAGGATGCGGCTGTTGTCATTGAACACCTGCATTTTTTTTTTCCGCCGTTGCCCGGTTGGGTGTTTGTGTGGTTTCTCCACGCGCTTTTTCACCTCTGTTTTTCAAAAGCAGGCTTTTCCTTGCGCGCGCACAAGTTTTTGTGACCGCGGGTTAACCCTTCGACGATTAGTTTTTTCATTGCGAGACAACATCAACACCATTGTTCGAGTGGAAAGAGCCATTAATGTAAGGGTCTTCACGTATGCGAGACGAATCGTCCAAGAGACCTCCGTGCGAGAGACCCCACCACTATGTCGACAAGTTCGCGTTCCAACACAATTAATGGTATGCAGTTACCGCCCGGGCTTAGTTAGACCTTGGCAGCCAAGAGAACTTCGTGCTCAACATTATTTCGAAAGTTAGCAACTTGATAACAAAAACTGTTAGCCCGGAAAAGAACCACTGAAAAATCTATCTAGCGGCCATGCAACTGAACTCCAGCTGCTAAGAACCTCAACGTCGGCCACAACCAGAGGCTCTCGAGTGGGGGGGTTAACTGCAGTTTGAGATGATTCAAGTACAGGAAAGAGGAGGGCGGTGGGCGTTGTGTCCCGCCTACGAGATGTTCGTTCTTTCCGAGGAAAGAGCGCGGAAGACAGACAACGCAAAGGAGCCACATGGCGGGAGTGGCACTGGCCGCAGCTCCCCCGCGGCCTCCAAGGCGACATGCTATTTTGGCGGCGTGAAGACCCCCCCCCCCCCTCCCCGGCGGCGACCTTTTTTATGTGGTCTCTGTTTCTAACACCATGGGAGTATGTATCAAGACAACACAAACCAACAGCTAGCAAAATACACTAGAACAACAATGACGACGAGGTGCGCAGTACGTGGGGCATTGAAGGAAGGGTGCGGAGAATGTCCACCTGAAACTCTGCCACTACTGCCGCTGGTGGCGTCTGTCGCTCGAACCCCACCGCCCCTACAACCAAGAGCACCAGCACCGCCGGCGACAAAACGTAGCTCACCTTGAAGGTGACCGGGCAGTGCCATTTTCCGTCTGCGTTCTTGGAGATGTTGAGCCGAACCAGGTCCTTCGGGGTCAGAGCCTCCCCCGTCACGGGGTTCTTCTTGTGCTTCCTCACATACGGCATGATGTTGAGGATGTCGAAGATCACCCCCTCCTTGGTACACACCGGTGTCTAAAAATAAAGTGTGCGGCAGATCCAGTTTGTGGAGGAGGGGAGATGGGATAGATGAGGGTATCAAGTTTGTTGCTCGCCGCGTAGCAGTAGTAGCGGTGGTATCTTCAAAAGGTCAGTGCCTCGCCCTGTTGCGCTGTCCTATGTAGAACACAATGTTGTCTCTGCACGAACGCCATCCATTCTTGGTTCGCGAGCGCACCGCCGGCTAGGGTTTTAAAATTTAAAAGAGTAGCAACGACGGCCTTGAGCAAACCTTCATGCCTTCGTCACAAAACGTACACTCTACCATCGGTAGTAGTCTCATGCGCCAGCATAATTGATGCCCGTTAGTCACCGAGCTAGCTCTTACGCAGGACCCAGAGAGTACTGCTGTAGACGGGCGGAACGCTTGGTTTGGCGTGCGACGAGAGGAGGCCCACCCTCGTCTGCCGTATCTGTTGCACTGTACTCTCACCTCGAAAGGCGCCAGCGAGAGAGCACAGCAGTCGAACGCGAGCGGCCTGGACGCCCCATTCTTGTCGGCCTTCTTTCCCCCGTAGTCCCGCTTCCACTGTTAGCCCGTGCCCGATCCGGCCGTCAGACCAAACACCGCACAAGGAACAATCAAACCAACCCCGCACGAGGTGGTGACGATGGTTGCCGGTTCGAGTAACAAGAGCCCCGCCGCCGCCGCCGCCGCACCAGACAAACAAAGACAAGCATTTCGAAAAGGGAGGGCAAATGGAAGCACAGGGTCAAGGGAAGTGGGAGGGCAAGCTGTAAGTGGAAGGTTAGCGAGCGCGGCCGGTGCAATGAAGGCATGGAGCTTTACCAACACAGAGCGGGGGAGTTTCTGGGTGTGTGTGTTTGTCTGTCCGGAGTCCTCTCTGTGTGGACTCTCTTCGAGGAACGCTAACAAACAGCAAAGGCCCGTTGTTTCGCTACAGAGAACGGACGGTGCGGGCGATGGGGGCTCAACTCCGCGTCGTTCTTTCGCACGTTGTTGGTCTTGGTGTTACACTTCCGACGGCACCAGCATTGCCCTCTACGTGGTGCCAAAGACGCTTCGATTGGCCGTGCTAGCGCCAGCCCCCGCTCGATTCTCCACAAGGATAAGCATACGAGTGGCGGTAACACACAAGGCGAGTCCTAGGGATGAGTTACAAAGAGCTTTCGATCCGACGAGGGCTACCCAGTCTTGGCATCCCTCCCTGTTGAATAGCATTGTCAGAGGGGGGTGATATACTCCGAAACAATACAGCAGTTGCAGCATTTCTCCATCATCCTGTATGCTACATGTATGCATGTCACTTCGACTGCTGTGCTCCAGTAACACATCGTAAGAGGGTCAGAAGTATCGAAAGTACGGAGGGTGCTTCAAGGCAACTGCACCACCGTGTGTTGTACAGACCGTGCACGCGGTGGGATGTGCTTACCTCAGTTGCAGTGAGGAATAATCTGTCCTTGGAGTGTTGATTCCGGCCCATACTGCTTCACCAACCCGCAACTCTCGGGGGACTCAGCAGGCCTTATTTCTCTGCACCTATGGATCTCCTACCGTGGTTATGAGCGACACGGCTGCTGGGTGCGGTGCATCGAGCAGCAGCGAGCAGCACAGACAGAGCAGCGAGAGAGTGGGTGTCTCAGGGGCGCCGCGACATGAAACTTAACATTTGTACCCCCCCTTACTTTCGAAAGAATGGAAAGCGGGGGTCTTGGCGTCGTCAACTTCTCGCGGGAGCAGGAGAGGAAGGCGGGCTGGGGCATCATCTCACCGGTATCTACGTTCGGAGCGGCGTTGCGAGGTTGCGAGGTGAGAGGAGTGTGCGCAGAATATCACCAATTCAAGGTTTATCTGCCGATGTATCGAGGCCTCGCGGGAGTTTGAGCGGCTCGGGAGTGAGCGTGTGCGACTTGCGTGCTTTTTGTGTGTTGTGTTCGTGGCGCCAAATGTGCTTCCCCCTCCATTCATCCTGAACCCTGTCGCAAGAGAACACGTCGACAAACAAAAAATAAAAGGGAAGGCGAGGATCGGCGCACACCAAGGCCACGGAACGAGAATGGCGTTGTTGCCCCCCCGCGCGGGTTTGATCTCGCTCGATCCGAGGCTCGGCGTCGCTCTTTCCGCGCCCCGCGAACCGCACACCCCGCCCATATGTTTTGTGCTCTTTCTGGTCCAAACAAGTTTGAGACCCACCACAGATCCCGCGCTGGTCAACCGTGACCGAAGTAAATGAGAACGCGCGGGCGGTGCCCACGAGGCCGTCTCGGCTGTTGTTTCCGGGTCGTTATCTAGAACCCTGTAGCTGGAAAGGTTTGGCTACCCCCTACATCCTCCTTCCTCGCTTTGCTCTCGGGCAAGCGCGGCGGGGTATTCTTCAGCCGGCTTGTTTTTGGCCCCCCCGTCGAAAGCCGGAAAGTAATTTTGTGCATTGAAAAAGATGCCCTGTTTTTTTTTCGATGGGCGTCCTCTACTGCTGCTGCCGCGGCCGCCGTGTGCTGGTCAACGACAAACGCATTTCCTTCGGTTGGTAAGGCGTGGTTGGGTTGGATCACGCACCCTTGCTGTTTGCGGTGCCTGTTCGGATACATATTCAAGCTGGTCTGGGACAAGCTGGTCTGGGATACGTGGACATTTCAACAAGCTGGTCATCATCCGACCGAACAAAAAAGAAGCCACGAAAAGAGCACCAGCAGCAGAGCCAGCTGGAGCTGGAAGCATAGCTAAAGCCCGACAAAAAAAAAAAAACTCTGCGTGGATCCGCACAGCACCGATTCGGTCGCCCCGGTATATAATTTAGCGGCACTACACCGGGCACCGGCACTATTCAACCGGCACTACTGTAGGGGCCCTCCGACTGCTACCTACACAACTTTGTTGTCTTCAATGTATAGCAGGCGAAAATTGGTTCTCGGCGCGCACACTTGAACGCTCCCGCACAGCAGTAAATACATCGGAGTACCCACGAGTTTAATGTGAAGAAAAACAACAAACAACAACCCTCGAAGCATGACGTGGGGTGTTCTGGAGGCTCCCCGATCCCCGAACACACGACATTGGAGATCACCACCATTCAATGCGATTCGCGTACACGTGTGCCAATTTTTGCGGCAGGGTTAACAGTCGAATTCATCAGCATGTCCCAATCAAAAACTTTTCGATTTTCTACTTGAAACATGGATGCGCACAGCATCACCCCACGACCCCCCCATTGAGGTCGTAGGTGCTGCCGACGGCCTGCGCACCTGACAGCGTCGTGAGGGTCTGGGTTAAACCTCATCACACCGCGACTACAGTAGCCGGCCGATTGAGATTGCATGTGCTTTCCACAGCTTTTGCACCTGACCGTATGCGTGGGGTGGGGTGGGTATGTAGTCGTGCTATGACATGGAAACAACCCCGACCATCACGACGCGATCAGGTGTGGGAAGCACAACCAACATGAATCGGGTATCGTGGTCTAATGTTGTGCATGTATATATGTTGAATTGAAACTCGAAAACCTTGTCTGGTTGCAACATTTTCACCTGCATACTCTTTGTTCCCCGCTTTCCCCCTCTTGATGTTGCGATTGGGTCAACCCCAACCCCAAAGGTCGGCGCATTCTCCCCAACAGCAGCCCAGAAGACCCTCTCTCTCAACCTTCTGTAAGCATGACTCCCCCTGCGGCGAAGAGGAGGCGTTCGGTGGAGCACCACGAGTCCGTCAGGAACATCACGGTGGTGAAGGGAGGCCTCAGCATCATGTGTCCGTCGGTGAGCTAGATACTATAGATACATCCATCACGTAGACGTCGTAGTAGTTGTGGCTACTAGGGGAGAGATTGTTTCTTGTTGTATGCATACCTGGACGCCGTTTCTCGCAGAGTTAAGAAGCACGCAACGATGCTGTCATGCATCCTGTAAAGAGACGAAAGGCATAGCGACAGGTCTGCTGGTGCGCCTCTGGCGGCAGTCAGGCCGGCATTCCCGTGATATGTTGGGAAGAGAGTTAGTTGCTCAAAGTTCGAGGGATACACTATCTTTCGGTGTCTTTCGGTGTCAATTATGCCCACCAACGGAATCCTTGTTGCTTACGTACAACGGCGTGTCCTCCGCCTCCCCCCTCCCCCTTTGGGGTTGTTGGTTGCCATGGCTATATTCTGTATTTCCTCTTGGTGCAGGACGCCATGGGCATGCTCATCGGCAAGGGAGGCTCTGGCCTGCGCGAGATGCAGGAAAAGACCGGCGTGAAGGTATGTGTACATACGGGCGTTGTTTGTTGTATTTGCTTCTTGGAACAACAGTGCATATGCATGTGAATGTACCTATTTCTCGAGCCAGGTGTCCCACAACAATGCTGTGTATTTTTATGTGCCCTTTTCTCGAGCCAGGTATCTCACATTACCATTGCATGTGCATGTATGTGTAAGCACCTTTTTTCTCGTGCCAGGTATCCCACAACATTGCATGTGCTTGTGTATGTATGCATACACCTTTTTTTTCTCGAGCCAGGTGTCTCTCCAGGAGACCAAGTCTATCCCCGAGGGCGCCAAGGAGCGCGGGGTCGGTCTCTCGGGATCCCTGGACTGCGTGGCCAACGTCGAGAAGCTCATCTTCGAGAAGCTCAACGCTCGCAGAGTCACGAGCCTCGCGCCCTCTCCCGCCGAGGTGAGAGTTGGTTGCACACCACTTGTGTGTGTTCGTGCGTGTTCCTATGTAGCATCGCCGGCGCTCGCCGGCTGACCAATAAAAAAATGTCAAGTGTACCGGTTTTTAGCGTGTGTGTTCCGGATCAGTTGTCGACGATCAATTGTCTCATGTTGTGGTCCTCGTCCGTTGTTTGTACGCGTGTGCCATGTGTTACGTGATCGCTATTCGTTCAGGAGGAGTTCGAGATGGCCTACGAGGCGGCTAAGGCTGCGGGTATCGAGCCGAACGGGGCCACCGACGTGAGCGACATGAACGACCCTAACAAGATCACGGTCGTGCGCTGGATCATGGACAACGCGCACTGCGGGTGGCTCATCGGCAAGGGCGGCAGCGGCATCCAGAACATCGAGGTGCGTGCATACGTCGGGCTGACCAATGACGGAATTCTAAGAACGGGCGTGATGTTGCCCAGAATGTGCCATCCCCCCCCCCTTTTTAGAGTGGCTGGGGGAATGCAGCGGGGCAGTGCAATAGTCGTCATGGTGTGGTATTTGGGGGGACTGCCGTTGTGGGCGGCGGTGTGGCGTTGTTGTTGCTAGTTTTGCTTGCACCACGCCTGCGTCTGCTCACTACATGCCGGAACTGCACCTTTCCGCTGCCGCCGTGAATGTGTGCTCGTCGAACAGGCTACCTCGGGAGCGCAGGTGCGTGTTGCCACGGAGCGGAGCCTGGGCAAGGACTCCGCCGAGCGCATCGTGTACGTGAAGGGCAACAAGTCTCAGCGAGAGGCCGCCCTCGAGCTCATCCGGACCAACCCGAAGGTGGGTGGGGCGGTGATGCGGTTAAATAAAGCCTCTCGTTTTAGTTAGTTCGCTGGCGATGGAGATTGAACCACGCGTAGGCTCGCTGTTCAAGTCGACAGCGGCTTGTCGAACCTCACGAAGTACTAAAATAGATGAAAGGCACGAATGTTTTTTTGGGAAGACAACGACAAGCTGACTGGTGGTCTGACCCAACCTTTGGCTTTAGGTGGTGAGGAAAGTTGTTGTTTCACCTACTGCGCTGTTCCTGGGGCACGGTCGCGATAAGAAGGCCTCCCCCGAACGGGCAACATCTGGGACGGCACATACCTTAATAGGCCAAAGAAAAGAAAAAGACATAGCCCTGCCTTGCTTGTGTGCAGCAGCACCTGGCGCGGCTGTCATTCCAGAAACCGACATACTACTGCTGTCACACCATCCGCCTTTGTGGCGCCATCTGTCGGTCATCATTGGCACCACCTTCCTGCTTGCTGCACCTCAATCATCATCTCGAGTACGCAAAAAATTAACGCGAAGGACACCCGCTGCTGTCCGTATGCCGCAGATCACCGGGCGTGTCGCCTCCCCCTCGGAGCCGGAGGTTGCGGCGGTGCACGTGCCCTCGAAGGCCGTCGGGTTCATCCTGGGGCACCGCGGTGCGTCCATCCAGGCCCTCACGGAAAAGACGGGGGCCCAGCTCCGCGTCGCCTCCGGAAGCGAGGTCACCACCGGCGGCGGCGAGCACAGGGTGAGCGGTGGGGATGGACGGAGGTGTTCGTAGTGTGAGTGAGAGGCGTGTTCCGCGGAGGCGGGGTGAAAGAGGGTGATACATGAAGAGAAGCGTTGGTGTGTGTGTGAGAGAGAGGTGTGTTCTGCGGAGGGGGTAGCTGACGAGTGGGAGATGAAGAGAGCAATGGAGAAGGGGCGTTGGTGTGTGTGTGTGGGTGAGAGACATAAAGAGGTTTGTTCCGGGGAGGGGGGAGCTGACGGAGTGAGACAGTTGTTTGTGTTTTCTCTCTCGCCTTAGTGTTGGTGCCGCCCCCGCTACGTCGGTTCGGTAGGTTCTGGTACTTTATATACTATTTATAGCGATTACGTGTTTGACCTGAGAGCCGTCTCACACGCCTGGGGCAACGACACAAAACCGCGACCGGCAGGTGGACATCACGGGAGGCCCCAAGCAGATCGTCGCTGCCCGCCACGCCCTCCAAGATCGCGTGGCGGAGTGGAGGACGAGCAACAACCCGAACGGCGAGCCCGAGGAGCCGGAGTACACCCTTAAGGTGAGGGAGGGGGAGAGGGAGCAATCTAACGGGCGCGCAGGATGCAACCGAGTGATGTGTGTTGTCGTGAGGTTGAGAGTCGAGAGTATGGTGTTTGTTGTGACTGCGAGGAATAGACGATACCGGAAAAGAAAACGTTCGACGACGGCAATGTAGGACGGTAGTCGAAGACACACGTGGCTGGCCCGCTTGTTGCGGGGTGATTCATCCACTCACCACGTTCCATAGGGCTGACGGCACTCCTCAGGAAGTTCTGTAGGCCTAATGGGTTGTTTTCCATCAGAGCGAGGATATCGTGTGCCCGCAGAAGGAGAGTTTGGTACTTGACGTTGACGAACAACGCGTCGCTCGTCTCTCTGTTGCGGTTGTTTTTCGTTCTGGTTCGGTGTTTGCAGGTCGCCGTGCCCCAGCCCCTGGTGGGCCACATCATCGGCAAGGGAGGAACATTCGTGAGGGAGGTCCTGTCCGTCACCAACGTGCAGGCAAGTATGGCTCAGACGCATTCGACTCTGCTGCTTTCGCGTCGTATTCGCTCTTGTTGGCATGCAAAATCTCTCCGTCTCTCGTCCGGAGTTGTGGACACCCTTCCACTAGAGGCGTAAGCGCGGTAGTTTTCGAACAAGCCATGTGGACGTTAGTACGGTGAACGTTTGCTGTCGGGCTGTTCGCTTACCGATATATTGTCTGTGTGTTGGACGTTCGGTGTTCGAACTGTTGTTGCGCCCGCTGTCGACGTGTGCGTGGCTCGGACCAACAGGTGAAGATCCAGCAGGACACAGGGTCTCCCACGATGTGGGGCGACGCGTGCTGCGTGATGCTGTCGGGCACCTTTGGCAACGTCGTGAGGGCGCAGCGGATGATCTTGGAAAGGATCGCCAACACCAGCGACCGTCTGAAGGAGATGGTGAGTTTGTCCGGTCGGCCGAAGGCACACTTTGGCTGTATTATGTCGTTGAAACCTCTGATGTGTAAGGAACTGCGAGCACAGTCATCCCCCCCCCCGCCCTTATGTGCACGGTTTCGTACCTGATTTTGTCTTCGAAGTGTACGAACGGTTGATGCACCAACGTTGTTCGGATTAGGCAGTTCACGCCGAGTCGTTTGAAAGTATCTTTTTGGTAGGCTTGTTTTGCGTCCCTCCGGGTTCTGAAGAGAAATGCACGCGTGCTTTCACCATGATTTTCTTGGTGCCTCGACCGAAACCCTATCTTCCATCGTTGCTGCTGATTGTCCTCCACCCTTTTTCTCGATCTGTCGGGCCTGCGTGTTGACGTTCGTCAGGTGCCCAACGCCGTGAACATCCTTGAAAACCACGACCCTTCGGATGAGATGAAGAGGGTGGAGGTGAACATTCAGCTCCCCGACGGACCTCCGCCGGTGCAGGCTCCCGTCGGCTTCCAGGTAAGCATTGAAGACTGACTCCCCACCTTCCGGTGTTGTGTTTGTCTTGACGAGAGAACCAGCACAATTATTGTGTATTTTGTCGCCACGTCACGGTTGCGAGCCTAGGCTTAGTCCTGCATGCCGACCGTGGGGTGTCATGGCCGGTTCGGTGGCTCTGAAGGAACGCTGTGGGCGTTTGTTGAGATCGTCACTTCCCTCCTCTCCCACCGTTTTCGTGGTGTGAAATGGGACGCCTTTCTGGCGAAGGGGCTGCTGAAGTAAGTCGATGTGGAAGGCGTGGCCCAGAGAGGCGAAAAGTGGCACGTTTTTTTAGCTTGAAGTGACCGGGTTTGGAGTGTTACGTGTGTACGTGACGAAACACGCGTGGTCCTGTGAAAGCTCATTTCCCGCCCTTGAGATATACCGCTGTGGAGAGACAGCAGGCAGCGCACCCCCGAATAAAAAAATAAAAACATCCCCTTTTGATGTTTGTGATGTTTTGGTTGTTGTGTTCCGCAGCAACCCCCGCCGTTCGGCCAGCAGCCTCCCCCGTACGGGTTTGGCGCCCCCCCCCAGTTCGGAGGCCAGCCCTCCCGCCCGGGCCCCAACATGGTACGAGAAATATCACTGCAGCATGCCTGCTTGTTGTCCCGCCCTTGCCCTTCACGAGAAATCGGGCTTTTGGGGCGGTGTCCTATTTACACACGCTTAACCTTGCTCAAGAAATTATCGGGAATCGGACTTTGGGGGGGGGGGGGGGGGGGGGG